TTAATGACACGGACGGTCCCATTTTCCCACTCCCACCAGCCGTGAATATCATATTTATCCGTATGTTCGACATAAGTATCATAAGATACCTCAGTAACAAGCTCATATGGTAAACTTGAAAATAAACAACGGTCAACAATTAGCAGTTAATTAACTTGTAAAATAGCCAAGTTGTTGATGCAAAATAATAAAACAACTTGCATTGCTTCTTCCCACCTGGCCTTCGAGTGCAATTTGCCAGTTTTCCACCAGTCCCTGCGATATCTTTTCAGTTCGTCGGCCTCAAAGGCATCGGAAGTGGATGTAAAAGAGGTGGTTGTAGTGTCTTGGGTTGATTGGGTATTTTGACTAGTTGACATATTTCTCAGAATAGTATATACTGTATGATTAAAAAATAAAAGCCAAGTCGATTTCCCTTCCGAAATCACTGAAATTGGAACAGATCATAGGCGTGATTCAGAATCTAGTACCTCATCAGTAGTAGTGAGATTGATAGAAACTTAACATCCAGTCTCAGGAAATTATTGATGAAGAAATGTTGGATACGGATAATGGAAAGGACTCATGGGATAATCAGTCGATGGTGGAAGGATACTACAAAAGATCCATCGAAATTTCCACTGAGAAGATGACTTTAACAAAAGATAAACTACCTAGTAAGAAAGTGAAGAAGCAAGTTTCAAAATTCTACATTACAAAGACTAATCAAAGAATTGAAAACCGATGTTCCAGAGAAAACTTTGCCAGCTGAACCAATATCTGAATCGAATAAGAACTTGACCAATTTTCTGGCTTTGTACTGGAATATACTTAATCCATACTGAAGAAATTAGTAAAAAAAAATGACTTAAGAAGTTATTCGTCACTATTTCTATTGGGAAAGCATTCGAGAAACGATTCAATCACTAAAGCAAAAACAATCCTAAAAGTACGGCTCAAGGGTTAGTTAATGATGAGGTTCGAGTTCAACTTTCGTCAGTTAGTCAAAGCTTGCTTTGAAAAACAAAAGAGCGTGCCCAAAAGATTTATGATTTATTTAATGGGATTGGGGTCGATAAGATCAAGCGGATTCAGAGCTTTACAGCAGTAATATTATCCAGTATTTTCCAGGATGATATAGATTATGTTTTAGCCAAACTTTACTTTCGTAATATCCAGCCTATTTTGATCACGTGACGCCGTGATATCATATCACGATCTATGCATATATCAAAATCTTCGTTAACATTACCGAAAAATTATTTGTAATACACCCGAAATTTATTTGTGTCAGATATGCAATAAAAAAAAATTCGCTTTATTGTAACAATAAAATACTGTACATAGGTACACAGATGCCGGATACATCGGTATAAATGCATCGTTTATAGATGTCTATTGTCCGCAAAGCAAGGAATTCTGTATCTAATAGGCATATATTGAACGGTTCGATTTTGTATAAGTTTCGCCGGTATTTAAACCATAATAATAATCTTCATATCATTGGTGAATTCATCATCATCGGAAAAATTTTCTGGCTCACCGTCGGATAAAGCAGTAATTAAAAATTGCGATTTGTTATCATTGGCATTTATGTCACTTACTTCACTTACCTCGGTTCCAGTAGATGCATTTACCGAAGCTTTTGGTAATTCCGAATCTTGATCATCTGAAGAATTGTCCTGTCGGTATATTCTAAATCAGTCTTTTTGGTAAAGTGATCTATAATCGTTTGAATATGAGAATTAGCAAACTTCGAAATAGCATTTGCACTATATGATTTAATATATTGGACATTATCCAAACCTATTTTTTCACGTTTAATACCAGGATTTTGTGCAATAATAAAAACACAAACTTGACCTTTGGCTTTTTTCATAAACACTTTATCTCTGTTCATGATTTCATCAAGGCTTCTGTCAAGTACTATAATAAAATTGCTCCAGCATAAAATTTCATCCTGAATAGCTTTTATTAATTCATCTTCTGCATCACATGCCTTTTCATATAAATGGGCTATGTTTTGGAGGAAGCTCAATTTTCCCTGACCCGAGGTCAGCGAAATTTCACTTACATGATTTGGGTATATGGAGTTATAATCCTGGATGGATGGAGATGCATCGTTACCTGCAGATATTTCCTAGATAAAGCCTTGTTCACGGGAGATAATAGGGACAATATTCTGGGAAGTTATGATTGTCTCTTGATCTCGAAGTTTGTTCTCCTTAACATTTTGAATTGTCTCTTTACTAACCGTTTCTCTATGCTTTTTATCCAGGAATTCATTTTCTTCCTTCTCATCCAACGATATTAATATGGAGAATGGTGATCACACCAATCCTGGTATATATCAGAATTAGATGTGTTAGACTTCTCATGGGTATCGTTAGAATTTAAAGTGTTATCGGTTATATCAGATACCAGGGTATCATCACATTGTTGCACTATCTGTTTTGAAGTATTGTTTTAATTTACCGGAGATTGCGAAACATCTTCCGTAAGCTCGAAGAGTCATTGTTCTGCAATAGAAATACTTTTTTCTTTTTCCCCCTGTTCTAATATAGAGAGCCTAGTCTCAAGCTCTATATTCTTTTGCTCTAATTCCTTGACTCTAGTATCACGTTTTGTATTCTTTTCTATAACCTGATTTGGCCTCACATTCTCAGCCTCGACCTCAGCAAACTTCTTTCTGTTTTATACAAGATGTAAATATGTTCAAAAGTTCGAGTCTGATAAAATCACGTGTTTGGGTGAACTTTTCATCAAAATAGTTTGCTGAAATTTCGCCAAGAAAAAAATTCTGATCTAAAAATAGATCATATTATATCCACAGTACACTAGTGATGTATACACATAAATATTGTCACAAATAAACTCTTTAGAATCAATTCTAAACATTTGCAAAGCAGGCCATTATGCGATTCTTCAAATAATGACCCTTCGGATTTACAACTCTCATTACAACCCAATATCATTCTCATCATATGCATCGCACACAAAATATGACGAATATACATAAATCATCTAATAACCCAGGCCCTATGGGTGCTTTTCAAACATCTGCACTAAAATTGAATCATATTATTCTAAAGTATAAAGTTATTAAATAAAATAAGTAGGTCTAAATCCCCTAATAGATAAATATGATAAAACACTTACTAAACCATATATTAATTGTCCTGGTTTTGATATAAAGTATGCTGTATCATATATATTACATTATGATAGAACTTATGCTAAAGAGCTCAATCCAATTTTTGATAATGAGAGATTATTTGACACTTTATTTAATATAAAACAGTATGAAACACCTGTTCAATAGGCAATACAAGTCAAAATACCTTTAAAGAATTTATTAAATGCCGAAAAATTTAGTGTATATTACTGATTATATTTTATATACATTATTTGGTAAAGATAAATTTATCAATTTAAATTATTATAGACTAATATTATAAAATGCTCTTTAAAGTATTCCCTTTTATAAAAAGATTCTTTGGATTTTTCAGATATTCTAAATATATAAGTTTTTATTTATAGTATAGTATATACATATCAAATATTTATCTTTTGATTTACTACAGATTTTATATTTTTGATTTGTAAACTTATCTATTTAATATTTTATAAATCCATTTATTTTACAATCAATGAATTCCTATATTTTACAAATTTACTTTATAAATTTGCCTCATATATTTTGAAAATTGTTTATTTTATAATCTATAAATTATATTTATAACTTTACTCTTCTTTATATCTATCATTAGTCAAAAAAAAAAAAATTATTCAGTATACTGCCACTCATGTAATATTTAGTAAAAATATGACATAAATAAATTGATAACTATATACTTTAACTATAAATATTAATAAATTTTTTGATAAATTGGTAATACATCAATTTTTGTAACAATTCATCAATTAATTTATTGATTATTTAGCAAAAATTTATTAAAAGTTTATCATAAAATTATTTATTGGCAATTCAATAAAAATTTGATATAAATTTATTAATAATTTATCAAAAATTTATTAATAGTTTTATCAATAATTTAGCAACTATTTATCAAAACTATTTATTAAAAATTTATTAACTATTTATTAAAAATTCAATAACTAACTATTCAATAAAAATTTGACAACTATTTATAAAAAATTTAACAACTATTTATCAAAATTATTCATTAAAAGTTTATTAACTATTTATTAAAAATTCACAGATTATTTATTAGCAATAAAGTAAAAAAAAATTAATAATAAAATTTTTTGAATTAAAGTTATATTTATGAATAATACAAACTATAATATAATATATAATATATATATAATTTATATTATTATAATTTAATTAATTATATATTATTATGAAAATAATATCAAATAATTTATAAATATGAATGATCTGTGGATCTATAGTACAGTGGTAGTGCTTCCAGGTTATAATCACAAGGTCCAGAGTTCAATACCACATAAGGGCCATGTGAAATTTAGCCATCGGTGATACAAAGATCTTATCTATCCTATGGTAACGATCTATACCCCAAAAATGGCTATAATAGGATCTACGGACCTATAGTGCAGTAGTTAGCACTCCACAAGTTGTATCACAAGGACATCAGATCAAATCCTCCAGGAGGCAACTTCTGATGCTAGTCGATCTGCCCCATTGGCGTAACTGTAAAATAACTGATGCTTCTGAATATAGCTCTGACCACTGGTCAAATGGGATTTTCAAG